ACGGGACGCGTCGTCTCTTAATAAATTTTACGGCACGGTAACTCACAACCGGCATCGAGAGCATAATTAATTTTTCCCGGAAATTCGACACGATAGCTAAATCTCGTTATGGCGTTATAAAAATGCTTACAGTTTTGTCGCTATTGTAATGTAATTTATTATCTCCCACGGAGCGATCTTACGATAATTCTGCGATCTTGTTTGGCAATATTCGCTGCTGAATAGATATACATTAAAATATACGCGATCTGTCTTGAAGTTTCTTTTTTGAATCTTTTCAACTATTTAAACATCTTGGTAAAAACTTGGAATCATCAATAATTTTGTCTTTTAAAGCGATTTAAAGTACAAAAATAGATCTTGACAAAAGTAGATTTTCGAGAAATTTGCATTTACACTCGAGTGGTCCCTTTAATAGTCTTCATTAATTTTAGAAAGAGATAAATTCTACATAATATTTAATCGCTTTTAGGGATTATAATTTCAATTTTCAACAGATTATGTATTAATCTCTTTACATTTTCTTACAATGTTAAGTCAGTGCGTCTCTTTAGATGCATTAGAGAGGATTAAAGGATTAAGAGAAGCCAAATTGTCGGCAGACTGAATTGGATCTTCCCATTGCATTTTCGTGCGATTAGCGATAAATAACTCTGTCAATGGCTTGCAGAAGATCCCGCTGGCGTTATGAAAAGGTCTCTGAGAGCTCGCGAGTGCGTTATCGGATACACGGTCGCGAATAAGCGGCTAGGTGTCGTTGCGTGTAGGTGTGTGTGTGCCGACGAGGATGTGTTCGCACGCGTTATACCGCGTTCAACACGGGCAACGTAGGGACAAGAGAGGCGATATATAATGTTCCGCGATATTAAACGGGACGCATTCCACCGAAGCCACCCTCTGGTTCCTGCTATGAATGCTTCTACGACCCCCGTCTCCTGTCTCACCCCTCTGCCTGTCGCCCACCCCTTCGCCGACTGCCTCCGAAAAGCGGAACGAGGAAGAGAGAGAGAGAGAGACAGAGGACAGACCTGGCCTACTCGACCAGGACCACCCTCGAATGGTTATACGCCAAATTTACAGCTTAGCCACTACCACTATCACCGTGAACACAGTATATACTAGCCTCAAGCTGTAAAGTTTCTCGCAACTGATACTATGTGGTTCATCTATGTGGTTCAAGGATGAAACGAATTAACAAAAACACTTTCCTTGCGTTACCGATATGATGTCTCCGATGGTGTCAAGAAAATTCTATTCGTTAATTCGGAAAATTATTGATTTAATTTTGTCGTTTATTGAAATATACAGATAATGTTGAATTTAAAAGTCATTTGTATTTTATGTGTTTGTTTCTCATAACATTTTTATTATAAATATTCTACAAGAGCTTCAAGATTTTTGATCTCTTTATCTTATTTTACATTTATTCTAAAAATATCAAGATTGCATCGCGTTAATGATAAAGTAATATTCTGTACTTAATGAAAATTATACGATGTAGTTTCTAAGAGCACCAGGGATTCACTGCACACACAATATAGTATAAAACTAAACTCGTAAAGATGAGTTGAAAGATGGACGTGGATGGACGATCTCATTCTCGCGAATATCCTCCCGAAAGTTTCTTCATTCGTCGTGCTGTTGCACGTTAAGTGTTCTACATTACCCATAATTTTCATTTCAGTAGAATCTCAGCCAGATTTAGTAATTTAACAATTTAATTAATTAGTACAATAGAGCAGTAACAAAATTAGAAAACTTTAGGTACATACTTAAACATTCCTTTAACAAAATTTAATTTGCTATATCATTAATATTTTTGCTAATTCAAAGCTGGAGAATTATATAAAAGTTATTTAGCTTTTAAGTTAAAAAATAGAAAATGGGAAAGATGATGTTATAGCAATCGTATTTGCAAAGTATCAGTACAAAGATATCGCTTCCTTACCTCAAAAGTGATACAACTCAAAAACCTGAGTATTTAGTTATTTTAAATAAACATTTTATTAATCGTTAAAAATGAACTAACTTCATAAAGAAAATTGTCGAAATTATCACAACTCAAAAAATGATTTAAAAAATTATTATAAAAATATTTTATAATATAAAAAAGATGATTTTAGCTAAAAATAGAGAGTAGATTTAATTTTTGGAGTTGCATCACTTTCAAAATAAAAAAAATGAAAACACAATATATATTTACATAAGATTGCCTTACAACTGTATCTATATTTTTATATATATTTTATTACAATATTTATGAGTACAAGATATGGAATTTAAAATATTTTCCAAGTGTCCAAAGAAGCCCTACTGCATAAAGGAATCAAAATTATTGTGCGGTATCTATTAAATCGTTATACAAAATTAATGAAATGCTGTCTTGAGCCTATTGGCTTAGTAGAGATCTAAGCATCTACCGAATAATCCGGCCTATTCGACCGATGCGTGTCCCCAGCACCCCCGTCCCTCTTTGCAGGCCGAAAATTTGTCGCGACTCGATCATTACTCAACGAGAGCCGGGAAATCTAGCACCGTAATATCTGGCACCGAGCGGCGGCGCGGATAATGGAGAAGGATGCATACGTCCGCGATCTCGCGCGATCATAGTAGTGGCCAGGACATTCCGAGGTTTCGCCGGCGAGAGGCGTTCTCCCTCTCGAAGTTCCTGCACCCTATCACGGTCGGCCTGGTCATACCCTATCCTTCATCCAAACATTTCCATCCCCTGGGTAACCTCGATTCTCTTCTCTCCTCCCTCTCTTCTTCGTTGCCAACAAGAGCGCCGAATGCAATCATACGTCATCCGCCATGATCTATGTCTTCTGCCATTCTAGCGTCGCGCGCTCGATCTAGCACAAGCTCGCGTGCACATGTTCACACATATATACGTGTACGTGTAGCTGTACGTGCACGTGCGCAAGTACGCGACCGCATCTCGCGTCTCTATTAACCCACCGCTCATTTTCCGGCTGCATATGAGCATGTTCGCCGTTAGCCACGACCACCCACCGGATGATTGCGGCTCGCTTCCGTGCATTTTCAAGAGAAACGTATATCCCTGACAGTTTGCCTATCTTTATGTGGAGCGTCATAAACGTACATATTCATTCAAGAGTTAAGCTAGAAAAGACAATGGTACATTATGAAACATCCTTTAATAATTGTGAAAATTTATACGAAGAGTAATGCGGTTTTTAATGTAAAATAAATATATCGAATATTTTAGACAAATATATGTAATGAAAGTGTTTTCATTTACTCGTTTCTTTAATTTTGATTACATCGAAACACACAAAAATTGTTTTGATTTTTTGGAAACATATTGGCTGTGTTTAGCAAAAAAAAAAAAGTAGCTTTGCAACTGTGATAAAATTGTTTAATATTGATCTTGCCTTGTTCGTCACTGGGTCTAAAGGTATACATCAATAATATTCAAGAATTTTATAACAGTTGCAAAACTGCTTTTTCTGCTGAACACAGCCATTGATTGTCTACTATATATAATACCTATTATATAACGTCTACTTTTTTAAAGCGGCTGAAAACAAATTTTATTAATGAAAAAAGTAAAATATGTACATAAGTATTAAAGTAAAATCCTGAAGAAAAGTTCCAATTGGAGTTCTGCATAATGAATTAATTATAGTATGTGTAATAATTTTTACCAACTTGTTTCTCGCAAAAAGAGACGCTCAGCAGTCAGCTGTCTCAAATCTGTTGGCCCACTAAGTAAGCCGAACAATCCCCAACTTTCCCTCCCTTGGCCTTTCTCCCAAATGCATAAAGTGGAACGCGTAACACGAATATCTGCGTATAATTAACAATTATCCGTCTCTTGATTCTCCGAGAGCCGTGGAATGGCCGATACGTGCGCGCACAGGCCCCTGCGAATGATTCTCCGATGAATTTCGTCATCGCGACGAATGCCACAGGGGATGAGGGACGTAGAACGAGAAAGGGGCCGACTGCGGGGGGAGGGGGGGTGGGGGGCACGTTCCGCTTTTGGCTCGGGGGTGGTTGTTGCTACGGATCGGGATTTGCACCGCCAACGGTGGTACGAACCCAGCCAGGGAATAGGGGTCTTTTCTGGGGGCTTAACATACACACTCCACCCCCGGTAGGCGGAGTGTACCGCCTACGAGCTACCCCCACCCGCTGCACTGATACGCGATATCAGCGAACACTTGTTGCTCCGACGAGCGTAGAACGACGACGAAGTGCCGTCTCTCTGTACACCCTTCCACAGCCGCGATTTTTCACGTGCTGATTTTTCCACCTCCCTCTCTACGCGCAGCATATGTGTACCCCCTACACTCTGTTCATTCCCTGCGAATCTAATTCAATAGGATAATATTCCATTGTCAAAAATGAGTTCACTGCACGTGATAGCGAACGGGATTAATTCATTATTCTGTAGCGAACGTTATAAACAATAACGCGTATAACATTGGGAATGTGTATGCAGTAGTTTTTAAGGAGTATGCTGCAGATAATGTGTTTGCTACGAATTTGCTATGAAAACTTTCATGACTTGCTTTATAATTAATATTGTGATTAAAATTGGAACTGTTATTACTATTTAGATCATTATGTATGTTACAAAACACTTTTCGCTACGGAGAGACGCAATAAAATAATTTGAACGTCGCTTTTTTCCATTCTTTCATTATATATCTTCTATTTCGCAAATCTTTACTAATATTTTGCGCTTTATTTACTTTCAGCTATGTGTTTCGATACTATTCTTTTGATGATGATGTGAACTTGACTTTAACCGTAACTTTTACGAGGAGCTTATTTATGGTCGTACTCTTACGAAAAGCTTATTTATGGTTATAGATTCATTTTGCAAGGCAGTAATAACTTTCGGTCTCGCAAAATAAATCTAGGTCGTTCTCGTAAACTCAGTTTGTGAGGCTGGACTGCGAGCGCAGCTTGAAACTGGGATTTTTTCGAGAGAAGTTAATAAACCGGGTACGTCCCTCGTTTTGTTACAGGCAGTGCGGTGGCTGCAGCCGACACCATTTCCGCGCCGTGGACCCCCGCGAGTTCCGGGCCGCCGCCCGACGCCAACGGCTCCGGCTCGGATACGAAGAACCTCGACGTTGGCGAAATTAGCGATGTAAGTCAACTGTGTCGTCGCCAATTAAGAACGACTGCGAGCGTGGAGTCTCAGTGCCCTTTTTATTTCAATTAACTCGTCGACCTGAGTTTGAAGGGACGAGCTTTTCTGCGGCTCGCATTTACTTATACGAAAAAACACAACGCTTAAACTTTCGTAGTAGAGACGACATTTATCGTTACTCTCTTGGTATTATTGTACTCAAAGAATTCCAACTGATAAAATGAGTAAAATTCTTTGTTGTAAAATGTATATACTTAGTTGTTGCTTGGTTTAATATTTGCGAAGCCGATAAAAAAATGCTAAATGATTAAAACTTTCCGCCAGTTCTCTTTCTTATTTTGTTCTCACTGATTATATTTAGCAGAGAAAGCAGCTTGGCGTTTGTTGTAAAATTTTTTAATATGATTGATTTATACATTTATTGTTAGATCTCTAATACGAAACTAATATCAAGATTAATCGTTTTAAAGAATTTTATAACAATTACAAGTTGCTTTCTCTGTTGAACGAAGTCAGTCTGCGATCTTCAATCTCATTTTATGCTATTATAAGCGAACATAATCACGTTCCGCATTTTTGAAGTATCATACTTTTAAATTCGACAGAGAAAAAGTTATTGCAAAATATATAATAAAGAATGATCTTAAAATCATTATACAGAATTTATAAGCAGAGTTGCCACAGGCCTGGAAAATCGGAAAAAGTCAGGAGAAAGTATAAAAAGTCTTGAATTTTAAAATTTGCTCACAATTCTTTTAAACTGTTTCTATTTCAAATAATTGTTATAATTTTTTAAATATTATATCTGACATTTATAGTCAAATACATGTTTAAAACTCACACAATTTAAATGATTTCAGTGAAATAATTAAAATTTACATTTTGTTCAATATTTTTATTTGATAGGCCTTTTTCGTTATAACTTCATTTTTTTTCCAATATTAATTTATTTTTTGTTTGCTTGAATTTGCATCTAAAATTTTGTTATGCTGCTAAATTTTTTTTGTATTGTTTGTAATAATATAGGCTAATTTTTCTACAATCCTTGATTTAAAATATTAAAATTTATATATTTTATATTAATCATGGAAAATTTCCCATTTCCATCTGGAAAACCTGGAAAAGTTTGGGAATTTTTAAATTTATTTTTTGTGGCAACCTTAATAAGGCTTTTATATGGCTAAATGGAAATTTAACGATAACATTGTTTTATACTCTTTATTATAACATTGTTTTACGTTCTTCGATATAAATTTTAATACTGAATTTATGGTTAATATCTCGTACATGTAGGTATTCTATTTGATATATACTGATCAATGAAATTACATGTTGTCGAAAGAAACTAGTCTTTCAAACGAAAGAATTATATGACATTGAAATTTTAATAGATCTCTTTAAATTATACGGTTGTGTGTATGTGTGTGAATACCGAATCACTTTCGCGGTTGTTTTACATAGACAACTAATTTACATTTCAAAATATATTCTACTATTGTATATAAGCAAAACAACATCGTGAATACTAAAATGAATACGAAAATGCACGGGATTATTTAAACGTTAATTTATTAACTTTGGCACATGTAAATTGGATTTATTTGGGTCAGACGTACGTAGCTACTTCAAAGCTGGACGTCGACCGTGCAATTTAATTCTCTGGCTTTCTCTTCACCTTCTTTTGCGTGTAATTTCTTCAACGTGATGAAGACATTTAAACATTTTGTTTTTTTTTATCATTTAATATTTATTATTCCTATTCATTTATGGAGAGTGAAAAGAAAGCGCATTTTGTTTCGTATATAATATTGTATATAGTATGTATGTCCCCGAAAGCTATTCACATTGATTTCGGTCACGCATACTAGTGATTCATAATAGTAGCGTTGATTTTTAATTCTTGATCGACGCTCGAAGAGCGAGATCAAATCAAAGACTTTTTCGTATCATCTGGAGGGTTTCCCTTTTTGGATCGCGTGTCCAACGATATTATATATATCGAAGGTGGCGAACGTGACTAGGATTCTCGGTAGAGACAAGCCTGTTTTCTCGCACCCTTTCCGCACTTCTCGGTATCTAAACACTCAGGATAATCGTCTATTTCTCGGCACGGAGAAACGCGGGAATCACACGTTTCTCTTCGTGCGGCACGGAAGTTTTTGATTCGTTGAAATTCCAGTCTCAACGAAGTAGTATTACTCGGACTGCTGGATGTTTCCGTGTATCGCGTATTCGCGCAACGTCGTCACCCTTCGAAGATACCCCTCGCACCGTGCGAATCTTGACGCGATGGACGAGCGAAAGAAAAACGGACGGAGAGGCGAGAACGCGAGACATTCTCTCGATTCGGCGACGAGAGAGAAGGAGAAAGGATCAAGTCCACTCACTCGGCCACGTTCCAGGCGTGGCTTCGCGGCTGCTGGGGATCCTTTGTTTCAGAGGGAGGAAGATCTCCGAGGTCCCACCACGTTCGCGATAGATACGGCAGATAAATCGCACGCGCGCGCGCGCGCGCGCACGGTCAGCGGTGGAATCAAAGATAAATGAACTTTTCCCGTGTCGAACGTGCCCAAGTCATCGAAATGCATCGCGGCGAAGGCAGCCTCCTGTGACGAACGTAATCGTGACGAACGTGATGAATGTTTGCGCGAGAATCATAATTGAATTGCTTCAGAATGGAGAACTTTCGGATCGGAAATTGATAATGATGATTTGAGTTGGAATCGATAGCTGAACATGCATTTGTGTCACAATGCAAGTTTCTCAATATTTATGGTATATTATTATATAATATAATATTATTATATATATACGATTAGAATTGAATAATCTCTCACAATAATGTTTTTTGCTTTTAAAATATGATTTGATAATTTTATAATTACACTATTTGTCTCAATCTGCTCTGTCATAAATTCATTTAGAATAAAAGCGTAAATGGTTAATTTTTATCATTTTATGAATAGTGATCATTTACTTAAAAAAAAAACGTGATTTCATTTTATAATAATTTAAGAATTAATATGTTATTATAAACACACATAATTCTTTAACAATATTATATTTATAAGTCACGAGATTACCGAGAGTGTATTATCTTTTTCTGCGAAAATCTAATTAAGATTAAGGACGCATAGCTGATGTACAATAATTGCAATCTGTCCCTTCCAGCTTATTCTAAATTGGATGATCGTATTTTTCAGGATGAGAAGGACTTGTCGGCAGCGGACGCGGAGGGCGTGTGGTCGCCGGATATCGAACAGAGCTTTCAAGAAGCTCTTACCATATATCCGCCATGTGGTCGACGCAAAATCATCCTTTCCGACGAAGGGAAGATGTACGGTGAGTATAACCACATACATATATATCTCTCTATCTATCCCACAAAAAATTCTTTTGTGCTTCATGCACTCCCACATATATATGATATATATGAATGTGTGATAGTCACGCAATTGACAAGGTACGTCGATAACAATGCTGGGTTAAATTATTGTATTAATCACTACTATCATAATTAATTAAAATAACATGAGACTCGTAGAATTTTGAGAAGATTAAAATAAAAGAAAACAATGATTTTTTAATTTCAATTTTCTAGTTTCTATTGCTTTATTTTCAAAATATGAACTTCCTGCGACTCGCGCGGTATTGTGATGAAGTTAATCTAATAATTGACGAAATGCTTGTTATACGGCATTTTATCATTTCTTTTTTTTTTTTTTTTTACGAATCATTTCCACTGAAGCGCACGTCTCGTGAAGCTGTACACTCGACGTCACATTACGTCGAAGTAATGCCACCCGAAGGAAAGTCCAAGGAAAGAACGTTGTTTTCCATGTGATGACCACACCATGAACGCGCGACGGCAACTTCCTCCGTTCGCCGTCCTCCACGTACGCGATGACGGCGACGGAGAAACGTCCAGACGGGCGTCGTTATTGCTCCGGTGCTGAGGTCAGTCTACGTGACTGACCAGATATTGCCTTGTACGAGACCAGCGGTACCGCCGTGGCCACCGCCGTAAACCACCACCACCATTAACCGCCATGAACTCGCCACCGGAGCAATAACGTCTCGCCTCCCAAGGAGGAATATTCGCCCCTTTGGCCGCCCCCGGCGAACCCTTACTTTTGTTCCCTCTTGTGCGTCTTTTGTATTAATTTTCTCGCTTTCTCGATCAATTCGCCGCCGTATATCTTTGCTTCTTTATGGAGAACTATAATGAATCGTCATCGATTTGAGTTTGGTACCGACGGAACACGACGACAGACGGAAACAATTTTACAAAAACTACGATGAGCACTTATGAGATTTGTGTAAAATTAAGCTTTGAAGTATCACGTTTCAGAGAAGTCGCATATCACAAATGTATTAATTAATTACTTTGCAATATTTGCGGCGTAAATAGCTTTATGAAGAAACAATATAAGCAATGCGCTTTCAAAATATATCATCAACGTTTTCCAAATTAAGATATTCTTTAAACTTAAATAAAAATAGAAGTACGCTCTTTTTTTTTACCATGGAAAAATAAATTCAGAGCTAGTCGTCTTCATCATTAAAGGAGTTAAAAGTGTTAATTTTATGGTAATTTTATGGAAATGGATACCTCGTGCCAACCTTGCTGTTATTCTCGAAAGGGTTGTAAACGAACCCTGAAATTGACTGACTCTCAGTCCCTTCGCATCCGGGGATGCGACCGGATCGCTGCCACTTTTCTTCCATTCTTGCGTCTTGGTGGGCAAATTTTCCAGTCCGTTCGGCAGGAGGACGTAGGCCATATTCGCATGAATCCCATTCGTTAAGGCACAATGTCGCTTAATTTCCGAAAGCACTTGGCGCGCAAAGCCAAGCGGGTGGCAATTCAATCGCGATGCGCGCGCTCTATGAAAATGGAGTTTAATTCAAGCTTCTCCGTGTCGACGGAGCTGGTGGATGAAAACAGTAACAACGGCGACGACGACGACGACGATGATGACGACAGTGATGTCGAAGCGACATCGTTTCGTTGTTATCCTTATTCTCGTTTCATCCTCACTTCGCGCGAATTGGAATTACGGTCGCAAAAATTTTGCTAATCTTATAATGACGATAGTTTTCTCGGATGTTGAACTATATGAATATATTTCTATGACATTTTGATGAATTATATTTTATTAGCAATTAATTTAGATAAATTCAAGAAAAAGATTGTAGATCGAAGAAACTTTTTATATTCTTTAGAGATTTAATTGATACTAAAGAGCAGTTAAAAATTGTTGAATATAAATCTTATCAATAAATATCTCTCGTACATTTTGCGATACCAAATGTAATTTTGTTGTATGTAAGTGTATGTAAACTTCGAAACTGTCCGAAAGATTTTTGCCTGTCTCGGGACATCTAATTAATTCGTAATATCTCAAGGGAGAGACAGAAGGAGACGAAAGCGATTTCACGAGTACAAAGTTACGTGGGGGTATCTCAATTGAAAATCGTTCTCGTTCACTATCTCGTCGCTATCGGAAAGTCTCGTAGGGAGAAGTCGCTCTCACCGGGACGCAGTTTACCCCTCGGTAATTTCCCCTGGCATTGAGGAATGTGAAAGTCGGTGATTCTTCGCGTAGACGATGGAAGTGAGAGACAGAGAGAAAGGTAGCGAGAAACGCGAGCGACGCGATATAAAATCGATCCTTCGACGTCACGAAAGACGAAGGAGCATCGCCGTCGACATCGTGCCGTCGTCGACGAGATGCAGTCGACCGTCCACCGGATGGAAACAAAGGATAACGAGGCGCGAAAATCGCTTAACGCGATTGGCCATCGATCCGACGGGAAACTTATCTCGCCCGTCGTTGCTCACTCGCCGAGCCAATAAAGGAGAGATCCCTCGGCCTTTCCGCGGGATTAAATATCTCGGGGCAATTTACCTCCTTCGATCTTTCCTCTCCGCACCTTCCCCCTCTTACCTATTCTTCTTCCTTTTTCTCTTACCCTTATCTAGACGCCGACGCCCAGATTTCACCGCGGAGAAACGATCTCGCCTCTCGTTCCCGAAGCGATACGAGAAAGAGAATCCAATCGATCTGAAATTTTTTCGTGCGTATCACGCTGTATCGTTATTGATAATAATACGATAATTCAGTTTCGGGTCGTCGAGAAAAGCGTATCAGCTACAATCTCCTAAATACTTTAAGAAGCAGTTAGAGAAACAATAAATGAATGTAATAATAAGTACGAAAATTATGAAATAAACATTTTCTACGCACATGCAGTTATATAGATAATCTTTTTACTGCGGACATTGAATACATATATTTAAAAAAAATTTGTGAAATAGTTTTTTATTTATATTCAGACTAGTCTTCAAATATTCTAAAAGATTTTATGAAATATTTCTCATAAATATCTGATTCGATCAATCGAAAATGAATTTTGAAGCATTGTAATTCGTATTGTAAAATCTTTTTATTGTTAATGAAGAATTTAGTGTTATTTGAAAATTATATCTCTCGTACAAATTAAAAAGAAATCACAAGGAAACTAAAATAGTTGCACAGGATGTTCTTACGCAGAAATCTTACGAATGAAGGGACAGATCGACTAAGGTCTGAAAAACAGAGAATATAGGGCTCGATGATTATTATTTGGTCAATAAAGCACGTTTGGGCCGCCCCATAAAATTTGATGAGGACCCGTTAATTGCCCTTGATGGGAACATTGCGCTAACATCTGAGGAACTGCTCGGGAGACTAAATTCCACTCGTTCCGTCTCATAAACCTGTCGCACCTCGCAAAATAATCGGGCATTACTTATGAGATCGCTGTGATGTATGTACCAGCGAGTCTTTTTGGAAAAATATCGGGCTCTGCTTGTCGGTGAAGGCGGCAACTTTTTGTGAGCACAGTCGATAGTCTACGAACAATGTCAAAGTGGACTTCCTGTGTGTCGGAGCTGCGCGGATGTCGGAAGAGGAGAGAGAGAGAGCGGAAGGGCTCGATATTCTTTGTGGCTGTTTCAAGGTGGAAAGGAGCTTCCTTTCTTTCTCTTTCTAACTCTCTCTCTCTCTCTCTCTCTCTCTCTCTCTCTCTCTCTCTCTCTCTCTCTCTCTTTTTTTTCTTCTATCCGCTCCTTCATCCAAGCGAAAAGAAACCGCATCGTTCCTTCCCATGAAGGACTAGGTCCTTCGTCCTTACGTCCACGGCATCCAATAAACCAGTAGAAATAAAAGGATCGCGCTGAGCATCGTCCCTGTCGGTGCACGCAACAAGGAACGAGAACGTTTAGAGAAGCGTTTAGGTTCTTGCTTGTACACCAGAAAAGAAAAACTGCCGCTGCGGTCTCCCGGAACACCTCCGAGCGGCTTCCATCGGTGTAACTTCTCTCCTCGTCGGTCAATGTTCCGGAACGAGCTCCGTAAATATAGTTTCTTGCAAATTTCCTCTCTCCCTCCCATTCTTCACCTTCTTCCTTACCCTCCTGTTTGGTTCTCGCATCCATCCGCCCGCTGGCGTTTACCAAGTAATATTAGACGATCGGCGCTTACGCCGCTCGCGCGACCGACTACGAGGAGCTTTCGAATAGATTTTCCGATCTGTCGGACAAACTCGGGATCCACCGGGACAAACTCGCGCGGAACAGCTTCCATCGATACATCGTTATACGTCCTTGCTAATCGAGCCACGCCGGATATACACTAAATGGATATACACCGGTATGTCTAAAATTATAATTTTAGATTAATACCGAAGTTGTCTAATTATATTTTAGCACTTCTAAATTTGTAGAGAGAATTTATTAGCGAAATGTATATATGATTAGGTCAAAGATCTATTTTATTATAGTCGGTAAAACGCGCATTAACGTACGTCAAGAATAGTAGTTAGAAAAAGGAATGGGGAGAAAATTAACAGGAAGTGAATTAAAAGCTGCACAACCGAAATAAATCAGTACCGTTTATATACGATGAACTATCTTTCTGAATTACGTCTAAATATCTTTTACGTCGATACCCGCGAGAACGGGACAGACGAAAGAGCGAATGAATGAGAACATGCAGATATAATGTGCCACGTGAACTCGAGCTGCGGGTCTGCATAGCTTCGGGTCGTATTTAAACAGATAAATCGACCACACACAGATCCACCTGGTCTTTATCCGCAATCGCTTAAATGACCTACACCATAAATCTATAAATCGGAGAGAAAGATATATATCTCTATAGCGAATTAATTAATTGGTGAATGTCTCTTTAATTCGTCGCGAAATTAGATAATCCTATCATAATTGAGGAGCTTTATTCTTTTAATAAATTTTTTTACTTTGTAAGTCGGAATCACTTCTTTGCACTGAGAGAACG